TCACATTAAGTTGCTGAATTCTAATTCTATCCACACAGTTCAAAATTCAAAAGGTACAAGAGGGAGGGAGGGAGGGAGAGAGAGAGGGAGGAAGGAATTCATATTAAGTTTCTGAATTCAAATTCTATCCATACAGTTCAAAATTCAAAAGGTACAAAAGGGTAACCACTAGTCTCCCTCCTAGCACTGTACCTAAACTACCCAGGTTCTCTCCTTAGACACAATAAATGTTACCTGTTTTTTTGTATATCCAGTTAGTCTATAACTACACAAACAAGTGTAGGTATTTCATTCTTTGTTCCCCCGAATAGTAACTTACACTGCAAGGCTATTCTTTTATCTTGCTTTTCTTCACCATTTCATGACATCTTGGAGATATATCATTCTATTTTTGATAGTTCCAAAGTATTCCATCATATGTATATATTCATAAGTTAATTACTAGCCTCCTATTGATGATCCCATGCCATTACTTTGAGAAGTTGAAACCAACTCTAGCAAAGTTTGAATATATCTTATGCTTTAGAGAATTTCTGCACTGTTCTGGGACTTGAACAATTTGTAAAGAAGGGAGAACCAGGGAGGACTAAAAATATAGGCATGTAAAAAGCTGGATTTGGCTGATTGTGGTTACTCATGCCTGTAATCCCAGCACTTTGGGAAGCCAAGACAGGTGGATCACCTGAGGTCAGGAGTTCAAGACCAGCCTGGCCAACATGGTGAAACACCATTTCTAGTAAAAATACAAAAATTAGCCAGGTGTGATGGCGAACGTCTGTAATCCCAGCTACGCAGGAGGCTGAGGCAGAGAGAATTGCTTGAACCTGGGAGGCGGAGGTTGCAGTAAGCTGAGGTTGTACCACTGCATTCCAGCCTGGACGATAGAGTGAGATTCCATCTCAAAAAATTTAAAAAAAAAAAAGCTGGATTTTAGTCAAGTACTTACATGTTTGAATAATGCTCCACTTGGATGCTACATTTGAGTGCTGCAAGAATTAAAGCATGTTAAAATCCTTGGAAATTTCTTAGTTTCTAAGGCCTTGCTCAGAGGGAAAAAAAAAAAAAAACCCAAAACTGTCATTCCAGTGATAATTATAGTATTTTCTCTCTAACTTGTTTCAGGTTTTTTGACTTGAGCTTGCAAGAAAATTGTGAATATATACTTTAAATATTCATCACCAGAAGGCTGATATTCCACTTTAAAATATACATAGAGGCTTGGCATTACATTATGTATATGTCAACTTATATATTAAGTACTATGCAGTATATGTACGCTGATACTTTTTATAATAAAAGTTATTAAAGCAGTTTCATATTTGTGATATCAGTATTCTATTGCTATTTTTAATGGTTCTTTTAAACCATTGTCAAATGACTGGTAACTTTTGTAGCTGGCTAAGTTTTTGTAGCTGGCTGGTTATGAATATGTACTTTATTTTGATTGCGAGACATGGATTCTCATAACCTCCAAGACCTGGAAAGAATCTTTTTTTTTTTTTTTT